ATATTTTATATTTTATTATTATTATTTTAATATTATATTTGCTTATTTTATTATTATTTCGCAATAAAATTATCATATATATATATATCATATTATTCAAGTAATAATTATTTTTATATATTAATTATCGTAAAATATATAAAAATATAATTAAAATGGAAATTCTTTTGATACATGCGAATGCCCACATGAGCATCCACAAATAATACGGGTATAAATACGGGTATGTATTACCCGTGTCCATCCGGCCCCGTTGTCATACCCGTGCCCGTCCTGTCGGTCCCATTGTCACATTATCTTATGGATATTCCCAACTCCAAAGAATTTATTTGACTAACCACAATATATGAAATGTAAATCTTAACGAGGAAATGCAAGTATCACGAGCCTCATTTCACCCCTTCACCCTTCAATTATTGAATCTTAAGTACAATCAATGACCCTTGTCTCAGTCTCATAAAGTAAGCCAAAACTCTTACTCCGTTTTCTATCAATGTGAGGAGCCTAACTTGTCCCAAATTTTATGCCATCCACACCTTCCTTCATTTTTTACTTTTCTTCTCTCACTACAATAAGTACAATACCCTATATTATACCCATCACACAAGTGATTTCAAAGATGGGTGGCACTGTTAGCAAGAAAGGAGGGAACTTTTCTGAAAAATATGTTATTCATTTGAAAGAAAATGTGAAATCTCTACAAGAGGAAATAAGGGAAATTATGCATGAGAGAGAGAAGGAGAATAAGAGCTATGAGAGAGATATAATGGTGTTCACTTTTAAGGAAGAAGATTTGAAACAAGAGTGGAGGAAGATGAGGGAGGAAGTGAAGCAACTTAGGAAGTTAGTGGAAGAGAAAGAAGAAAAGATAAGAGATATGGGAGAAGTTGGAATGGTTCAAAAGAATAGTGAGAAAGAGTGGGAATTGATGGGAACTAAGCTCTTGGTTGAGAAAATGAAGGAAGAGAGAGTAAGAAGAGATGAAGCTGTGGAGAAGTGGAAGCAACTTTATCTTGCAATTAAGACTGAATTGGATGAGCTCATTCATAGGACAATTCATGGTCTTACTCTCACTCTCATTATTTTTTTTTATAATTGAATCAACAAGAAAATGAAAATGATATATTATCCTATCAATTCTTTTATACCATAAGAAAAGTAACATGAGTTATAAAATGTTTCGTTTATTAATAATTAATTTACAAATAATATATGTCAATTTCTTAAAGAAGGATTTAATGAAAGGATATGTTATCACAAGTATTTCTTTTAGTGATTTTTCCTTGTGCTGCTCTTTTTGCACTTATGTTCACTGAAAAGTTGTTTGTTGGTGGGGTTCAATTCAACCCCCCACCCCTTCTAATTAACCAAAATGAGATATTTAATAGATTAAGTGATTACTTTTTATTTTCTTCTTTAGAAGTTTTCATACCACTAAGAAAAATTCCATAAGATTTAGTTGAAATTCAATGTTTATGTGTTGTTTTTTGGGTTGGTTGAGCTTATTTGTTTTCTGCAAATTTGTTGGCAGGGGATGGCCTATATTTGAAGGCAGAGGAAAATGATATCCAAATAGAAAATCTGAAGTGGGAACTGCAAGATAAGGAAGAAACCATCAATTCCTTAAAATCCCAGTTAGCTTCAATGGAACAAGTAAAGAACAAAAAGGAGAGGGAATTTGATTTGTTAAGGCAAAGCTTGAGGATCATGAATGGCAAGAAGAATTCAATTCAAACAAAAGAGAAGCTCTTAAAAATCAAATTGGGAAGATAGAATGCAAAGATGGTGCATGAAGATTATGTTAATATAATAATTTAACAAAGTGGTGGTAGAATAATGTTTTGTTATTGTATACCAGGTTGGTTTGTATCTTGCAACAACACCTGTGTTTCCTTTTACTTTTTTTTTTTTTCTCCTTTTTTTCTGCAGAAAAATAAGTAAGCCAATATTTCCACAAATGAAAAGACAACAAAGGAAATTATGAGGGAAGATTAGCAAATTTACCATTTAGACATAGTTAATGAATATGCCAGGTTCTAGTCAAGGAAGGGAAAAAGTTTTTACCCATTTGTTTTCTTTTTCTTTTCTAATGACAATCTCTAAGGGATGCTTTGTTTGGGATCGTTTCTTTTACTTGAAAGCAAGCAATAAAGTATTGTCGATTAGGTTTAGCTTGATTCGGCCATTGTCTTATGTGTTTGGGCTTGGTTGGGTTTGGTTGTGTGACTTATGTGTAGCTGGTTATGTGGGCAAGGATGTGTATGGGTTAAATATGGGGCTCTCGACTTAGAGTGATGGTGGGCTCTCGACTTAGAGTGATGGCTACTAGGGGTGACAAAATTATCTAAAAGCCACAAGTCATTAAAATTCAAAAAAATTAAATTCATTTATTATAGCTGATGGATTTAAATGGATGAATTCAAATGGATAACTTTAGTAATGGATGGATTTGGATCCATTATATCCAATAAATATATTCATTTGGATGAATATTCAATACATCCAAAAAAAAGAATTTAAAAATGATGTTCTTTGCTATTCAATCTCATTTAATATTCAAGAATTTTAAATTGTAGTAAATTCATTCATGATTTTCACTCTCACTTTAGATATTTTATTAAATTGATATCAGTTATAGGACATGTAGATATAACTAATTTTAAAAGTTTATTTTAAGTACATTACATATATATGTGATAAAAAATGTATGCACTGACAATATATTAGTTTTATATACTATCATTGCATCATTCACCATTTATATTTAATAATTATTGACTCTTCAAAAAAATAATTCAAATGAATGGTGAATGATATAGTGATTATGTATAAATTATTATACTGACAGTACATAAATATTATATTCTATAAGTATTTGTTAAAAACTTTACACGAAAAACCTTAAATGTCGCATGCTGGTAGAATATTGAATATTTTTTTAAAAGTTCAAAAAATCAATTTTTTAAAAAATCACTTTTTTTTAAAAATGATTTTTAAAATTGTGTTTTAAATTCTTTTAAAATGTGATTCTAAAAATTGTTATATTGCGATAGTAGATTTTAAAATAATGGTTTTCTTCAATAATGTTTTTAGTTCCAATAAAAAAATTCAAATGCATTGGATATTCATCCATCCAAATTCGTAAAAATGGAGTCATGCATGGATTGAAATCCCTCCATTAAGTTTGGATATGGATAGATAGAATAACTTCAAATATTGTTTAGATGAATTTATAATGATTAATTGATGACTTTTCATCCATCCATTATCATCTAAATCCAAATCCATCCATTTGTCACACTTAATGGTTAGGCCGCGGCTTGTGTTCTGGTTAAGTGTTTAGCACAAGTATGTATTTTTGGCTAGGTTTGGTTTGTGCGTGAGGTACCGGTGAAAATGGATAAGGAATGAAAGATAGGGTGCCACAAACATGAATGCTTGATGAGAACAAGGGGCTTGGCTTAGCCAAGAATTGTTTAGGAGTCACACTCAACTAAGACAATCAAATTCAAATAATTTCGAAGTTATATTATTCATGATTCAAAAGGAAATATATATAGCTTGTGGCTGGCCAAAAAGGGCTCCGCAAAAGTAGGAAAAAGAAAGCTAACAACTACTCTTGTATTTGACTAAGTCATAAGAATTGTCATGTAGTCCACACAGCTTGGTTTGAGCTTGGAATGTGATCTCAGTTTGAATTTGAATAGGTCACACAAGTTAAATTTAGATTTCCCGTGCTTGCACAAAGTTCTCCTCAAAACACAGACCAAGCTAATCATTTGGTTAATTAGGTTATCTCTTTGTTCCACGCTTGAATTTCAAACCTACACGACTTGCATTTGGGCTCCAAAAGACAACACAATTTGTCTTTCAATAAAGGATGTTGTACACGACCAATAACCCCTTGAACCTTGCAAGGGAATCTCCTTAAGTAAAGGAAACCTCCATCATTTGATTTTATCCTAAAATCCACGCGGATAGGAATTTCCACATGGATGTAATTTGAATTTACCATGCCAAGAATCTTCCACAAGGTTTAAAACATAAGGGTCCTTTTCCAACAACCTTCATACGGCCTCAACAACCCAATCCACTCCTAGCTAGAATCTAGGACATGGCTTGGCCAAGGAAAAACACACTACCATGTGAATCTGAATTCAAATTCTCGTCTTCAAATTGTGCTAAGCAATCACATGTAAAGCCCTTCAAGGTAAGATGATATGGTTACCAAATTGAACTTGAATTCAAGTAGCCAAACTCAAGTTGAACACACCAAGTGTGGTGCCAAATCTGTGCAGCGCCAAAGTAAGCCCTTGCACGCGCCCAGTGCCTATGCAATCATGTGCCAAGCGCCCATGCACCAGTGCCCATGCGCCCACGCCTAGGGGTGGCAATACGGGCCATCCCAACCCACCTTTGACCCGTCATAATATGGGCTGGCCCGTTCCTACCCTTATTACTAAAATGACTCAAAATGCCAGCCCGACCCATATTTGACAAGGCTTGCCCGTTTTTTTTCATTTCAAAATACACATTTATAACCAACTCAATCACAATTTCAAAAATAAATAATCATCACGCCTCATAAATGTATTTTAAAACAAAAAATCACAAACCAAAGTCCACAATCTCACAATAACATATCGTCTTAGTTTAAAACTTAAAAGTTCTAAACAACAAGGCAACATAGTCTTAAACTTTTAAACATTAGATTTTCTGTTGGAAGAAGATGTCTCCACATCAACGTCTTTCGAATTTTCTTCATCATTATCTACATTATGTACATGATTAAATTAATATATGCTTATAAAAATAATTAACTAACAAATAAATGATAATTACATTGGAAAACAATAAATTACCTTCACAAACAAAACCATTCAACCAATTCTGAGCACAAATCGAAACTTCCACATTTTTGGATAAATGTCGAATTCTATACTTGTTAAGAAAATATGAACCAATGCTAAATGAAGATTCAAATGCAACAGTTGTAATAGGAATGCAAAGCACGTCATGGACCATGATTAATAGTTCTGGAAATTGACTTTTAGTTTCTTTTCACCACTGTAGCACATCCAAATCATTATTATCTTTTAAAATTTAAATATGCCTCCTCCAAATAAATATCAAGTTGTGATTTTCCCATTTTTGTGGCTAGTTGCATCTTGTGCCTATCGAATTCCTATTAAATAATTCACAAAAAAATAATATTAATAGCAAAAAAAATATAATTAAACATTTAAATAATTAAACTATTAATTCAGAAAAGTATAAAATACTTACATTAAACACATAGTCTAACTCTTAAAATTTAGCCTTCTTCTGAGGAGAATCAGAAGTCAAAGTCTGCATAGAAGTAGGAGCACTTGTGTTACGGTATTGTTCAAATAGCATATACAACTTTCTCTTAACTAACTGTACCTTTGTTTCAAAAGTAGAATCATCAACTCTTTCAAAACAATAACTCAATGTCTCCAACTTCACCCTTGGGTCAAGAATTACCCCTATTGCAAGCACAACACTATAATCATCCCAATATTTCTCAAACTTCTTAACCAACCTATTAGCCATGCTCATCAAAACTTCATCTCCATCTCTTAAAGTATCAATGAGTACACATTGAATATTCCAAATATGCATAAAATACAAGTTGGAAGTAGGATAAGATGTGCCAGAAATCAAGTTTGTGGTACAATAGAAAGGCAACAAAAGTACATGGATTTTTTCTGCTATTTTCCACTCTTCTATCGAAGGAGAAAATCTGTAATTATCATCATACATGTGAAGTTTTTCAAATACATGCTTATATTTAAAAGCATATTCAAGCATCAAATAAGTAGAGTTCCACATTGTAAGAACATCTAGACACAATCCAGCAGAAGTATCAACATCACCAATCTTTTCAATGCATACCTTAAATTTGAGCATTCTACATTTTGAACCTCTCACATACTTGATACTCTCCCTGATTTTATACAAGGTATCACAAGCTACCTTCAACCCTCTTGGACAATTATATTAAATATGTGTGCAGAACAATGCACATGAAAGAATTGTCCATCACATAACAATGAGTTTTCGACAATAAGCTTATTTTTCAATTGTTCTTGAATGACATCATTGGAGGAAGCATTATCTAAAGTTATAGAAAAATATTTTTGTCTATACCCACCCCATTCATTCAAAAGTTCAAGTATCTTTTTAGATAATTCAGATCCAATATGAGGGGTATGCATATGACAAAATTTAATAACTTTACTTGCTAGCTTTCAATTTAAATCAACATAATGAGCAGTTAAACAAATATGACCCTAAGTTGTACAAGTTGTCCACAAATCAGAAGTTAGAGATATCATTGTAGGAATGCTAGACATCTTTTTTTTAAGCATATCATTTTCTATCATGTAGATTCTCATGACATCAACCTTGGTCGTATCTCTAGAAATAGGAATAAAATCTGGATTCAAGTAGTTAATTAAGCATATGATCTTCTTAAACTCAACAAATTTAAAAGGTAAATCATGTTCAATGATTGCACAAGCTAACATGTCATGCACCACCATTTGATCAATCTTTGAAGACATCAACTTTCTTTTCATATCCATAACCATTTGGCCAACATCACCATGTTTTATTTTAGCACATCTTCCTCTATGACAATGTAAATGTAATGTACCATAGTATTTACCATCACTAACCCCACATTTATATATGGTTTTGCAACCATAGCAATTAGCCCTCTCAATCCCATCATCCGCAACTCCTATCTTGGTGAAAGATTTCCATACACAGGAAGTTAGAGATTTAGACCGTTTGTTACTCTTACCTAATTCAACTGATTGAGATTCTTGAATCTCAACATCTTCCATCTCATTGTCAACATTAATAGGATTTGAATTATGACCAGAACATTCCATATTAATTGTTATCGAAAATAACAAAATATACAAAATAAAGTTAGCATCATGTGAATATTGAATCACAAAAAATGATGAAATGGGAGATTAGAAAAATACTACATATACACACATAATCATGTGTAAAGCCTTGATTCCAATAAGCAGTACTCCTTACTATATACTTATAAGTTATAACATCAAAATTTCAAAAATAGAAGATAAGAATAAATAGCAAATTGATTCTACTATTAAACATACTGCGGGGTGGACATAATCAGATGCAATCCTCTCATGTAGTCCATGATTCCCATTAGTATGCATAAATGAATTCAACTTCATTTACATAAGGTTCTTGGAGACTTTACCTTATAGAAACAGAAAATGATTGCATAAAATGTCTCTGAAAGGCTCTATAATTTACAAACATATTAATAAATGAGATACCTAAAATTGATTCTAATATCCAGTTACACACAAAATTGATGGTATGCTTCCTCAACTAGATAATTGAAGATTTATCATAGAACCACAACCTCTTCAGTATCCATAGTCTCTTGCTTGCAAGTTGTAGAAAAACACACTTCATACATAGATGAAAAGAGAGAGGAGGAGAAGGAACAAACTAAAACTTTTATTATATTCAACTTGTTAACGGTAGAAACGAAAACCGCAAATATATAAAAAGGGAAAGTCCCTAACTAAAAAAACGGCCTGAACAGAAAAGGAAAAACTAACTCAACTGAAAGAAAAGGAATTGGGCTGAACAAGAAGCCCAAAACAAATAAAACGGGAATATGAAAAAACCCAACTAAAGGGCACATTCTTCTTCAAGTAATGCAAACAGAAGAAGGTAGATAATGAAACACTGAGGATTTCAACATCCCCCCTCAAGTTGGACTGTGAAGAGAAGTAAGTCCCAACTTGCTAATGAAAATGTCGAATTGCTTAGGATGGAGGGGTTTAGTGAAAGCATCTGCGAGCTTCTCTGAAGAGGAAATATTAAGCAAGTGGATGAGTCCTTGGCGAAGCTTTTCACGTACAACATGGCAGTCGATTTCGATGTGCTTGGTGTGCTCATGGAAGACCGGATTGTGAGCCAGATGAATTGCAGAATGATTGTCGCAATAGACGGATACTAGAGTTGTGAGAGGAACGTGGAGATCATGAAGAAGACATTGGAGCCATTGGATTTCACAAACCAAGGTGCCAAGGATATTCGGCTTATGTGGATGATCGACTAACAGTATTTTGCTTTTTTGTTTTCCAAGAAATGAGGGAAAATCCTATGAAGATGTAGAAGTCGGTTATGGATTTCCTTGTATCAACACATGACGCCCAATCGGAATCTGCAAAAGCTTTGAGAGTGATATCAGATTTAGAAGAAAAAAATAAACCTTGAGCAGGTGAAGTTTTGAGATAACGAATGAGCCGTAAAGTAGTGTGATAGTGGGAGTCCATGGGTTTGGCCATGTACAAACTGAGTTGTTGAACAGCATATGAGATATCTGGCCTTGAGATAGTAAGATAAATTAGGCGGCCAACAAGGCACCTATATGAAGATGGATCATGGTAGGGAGATCCTTGATGCAGTTGGAGCTTTTTTGAAGGGTCGAAAGGTGTAGTTGTCGGGTTTGCAGCCAAAGAGCCACAATCTTCAAGCAGTGACAAATTATATTTTCATTGGTTAAGGTGAATCCCTAAAGTAGATCGTGCAATTTCGAGACCCAAGAAGTATCGAAGAGGACCGAGGTCCTTGATTTCATAAGCCTGATCCAGAATGTGCTTGACGAATTGGACTTGCAAAAGATCATTTCCTGCAAGAATCAAATCATTGACATATACTAAAATAGTAGTAAAAGAGGATGGTGATGATTTGGTGAATAAAACTTGATCAGCTTGTGAGTGTTTGTAGCCTAGGGAAATGAGTTTGGTTGAAAGAGCTGTGTGCCATTCACGGCTGTCCTGTTTTAAGCCATATATGGATTTGTTTAGTTTACAAACAAGGGAAGGATGAGCAAGGGGTAAACCAGGTGGAGGTTGCATATAAACAGTCTCATGAAGGTCCCCGTGAAGAAAGGCGTTATTAATGTCTAACTGTTCAAGGAACCAAGAATTTGCAGTAGGCAAGGAAAGGACAAGTCGGACAGTTGTGATCTTTACAACGGGTGAAAAATTTTCAAAATAGTCAACACCTTCAAGTTGAGTGTAGCCATTTGCCACGAGTCTTGCCTTGTGTCGTTCTAAGGAACCATCAGCTTTGTATTTGTTTTTGTATACCCATTTGCAGCCTACTAGGGGTTTGTTGGGAGGTAAAGGTTGAAGGATCCATGTGTTGTTAAGGGATATGGCTTGTAGTTCTTGTATCATGGCTTGCTGCGAGTGAGGAATTTGAGAAGCTTCCTTGTAAGTGGTTGGTTCAGTTTGTGTTGAGAGGGTGAGGCAAAAGTGTTTGTAATGAGGAGCACATCTATCATAGTTTAAGACAGAGGATAAGGGATGTGATGGCAGGGTTGACAGTATGGGTGGCTTTGCTTAGAAGAGTACAATGGTAGTCCCTTAAGTGTGTGGGTGGCCTTCTGGTCCTAAGGGAATGTCTAAGGGGTTGAGGAATTGGGTCAGTGGGTGGTTGTTGGATGGAGAGGGGTGATGGAATGTAGTAGGTGTAGTGTCTAAATCTTGGGAAATGCTATGGTCTGTGAGTCTGCAAGGTTCAGGAGTGGAAGTGGCATTGGAGTTGTAATGGAAAGGGAAGATGTGTTCATAGAAGGTGACATGCCGAGAGATAAAGGGAGTGTGAGAGGATAAATCATAAAATATATAGCCTTTGGTTGCATCTTTAAAGCCGAGAAAGACAGTTTTGCTTGCCCTTTGATCGAATTTGGTTATGTATGAGTCAAAGGTAGTGGCAAAGGCTAGGCAACCAAACACGTTAAGGTGATTAATAGGAGGATGAGAGTTGTATAAAAATGGTAAGGAGTTTTGTTGTGCAAAATTGGTGTAGGAAGTCTGTTGATGAGGTGGATGGCATGTTGAATGACATAGTTCCAAAAATTTGAAGGTAAGCGAGCTTGGAAGAATAATGCTCTTGCGACATTTAAAATATGTTGATGCTTGCGTTCCACTACTCCATTCTGCTGTGGGATTTCAACACAGCTACGTTGATGAATAATGCCTTTGGATGCAAGGAAGTCTTGCATTAGGAATTCAACTTCATTGTCACTCCTTAGACAAAGAAGTTTTGTGTTGAATTGAGTCTCAATATAAGAAACAAAATTGATGATATTATGCTTGGTTTGAGCTTTGTTATTCATCAAGAAAACCCAAGTAAATCTGCTAAAGTTATCAACAAGAGTTAAAAAGAATTTATGGCCAAATAAGGATGGGGTAGAATAGGAACCCCAAATATCAGCATGCAAGATTTCAAAAGG